GAGAGAGAGAGAGAGACAGCTTGAGCAGGGGAGGATCAGAGAAAGAGGGAATCACAGACTCTGAAACAGGCTCCAGGCTCTGAGCCGGCAGTCAGCACAGAGCCCGATGCGGGGCTCGAACCCACGAACCGTGAGATCATGACCTAAGCGAAAGTCAGACGCTTAACCGACTAAGCCACCCAGGCACCCCTCTACTCTATTTTTCTAATTCAAAATATTTTTTGAACTTTTAAGTAGTTTCCACACCCAACATGGGGCTTGAACTCATGACCTCAAGATCAAGTTTCACACATTCTACCCATTGAGCCAGCCAGGCACCCCAAGCACTGCATTTTTCAATGCCTGGTCTAACTCAGTCAGCCTAGGACCCCAAAGTGTTTAGCATCACCATTTATGAGCATATCTAATCAAAGTCCTTAGAATTTCAAAGTGAATTATATGGAATAAGACTGTTTCCATTTTCTCATGAGGGCTAGCTAACAGGCTTAAATTAAAAAAAAAAAATTAATGTTCTATTTATTTCTGAGAGAGAGAGAGAGAGAGAGAGAGGTAGCATGCACAGGGGAGGGTCAGAGAGGGAGACAAGAATCTGAAGCAGGCTCCAGGCTCTGAGCTAGCTGTCAGCATAGAGCCCGACATGGGGCTTGAACCCATGAACTGTGAGATCATGACCTGAGCTGAAGTCAGGCGCTTAACCCACTGAGCCACCCAGGCACCCCTACAGGCTTAAATTTTAGTGCATGATTTTGAGGCTAGACATTTATAAATATTAGTTGATTTTCAAAATTTGGGGACTTTGGGTCAGATTTTAATATTAAATATTAGGTAGATTATATTACATACATATTGTTTGCTAGGCACCTAGCTAAATACTTTCCCAAGCATCATGTGACTTACTCCTCACAAAAACCCTATGAAGTATTTACTTTTTCTCCCATTTGTGGAAGCTAAAGCATTGAGAGATGAAGTCATTTGTCCAGAGTTACCCAGCTATTACGTTGAGTTGAGTTTTGAACCTGAACAATCTACCTGCAGAGCCTTTACTCTTAACTACTAAGCTGTGCTGCCTTCCTGTAAAGGAAGCTTTTCCCTTTGAAATTGAGGACTATTTCCTGTCAAGTGGGGTGGTTTAGAGCAGTCATGGAAAGTGAGGGGGTAAGTGGACAAGAATCTCCAGAGGGAGAGGATCTGAAGTTTGAAAATATTCTCCAGCTGTCTTCATTATGCCTCCCTCTGTACCCCCAAGTGAGAACCTCTGCCGTAGGCATCCTACCTGGATTAGAGGTTCTGAACATGATGCCTTCAAAAAAAGGAGGGCTTCTCTAACTGGGCATGGGTGGTTCATTGTCTGTAACCCAAAGCAGCCTGATATTTTTAAAACAAGTGTTCTTAAAGGCAAACAATGCTTTATCACCTATGTATGGCTTATATCTGCCACGAATGATCTGTGGTCAAGGTTTTATCACAGTTGGTTTTCCCTTCACACTTTTCATTTTGATTGCCTTCTACAAGGAGGGTAATGCCATTTATAGATTTACCTGAGCCAGGTTTATAAGGTTGCTTGGTTACAAGGTATGTATCTCAAAATCAAGTAGATAGGATATTCTGGATTATGTGCTCTCGCAGGTTTCTCTTCTCCGTGTGTACATTTGTTCAATAAATATTTATTAAGCACCTAACTCACAGTTAGGAGGAGGAGACAGGCAGCTGAACTGGAATTTTGATACATTAAGATAAATGGCAAATGAGGTAAGCCCGGGTGCTATGACAGTACACAGAAAGGACAGAACAAGGGTTAGGGGAGCCTTCCTGGGGAAGCAACTTCTGAGCTGGGAATTGAAAGATAAGGAGGCCTTAGCTAAGGAAGGGGGCCGAGAGGGCATTAGAAGCAAGGGAACAGAGTGAGTGTAGAATTTCACAGTTGGAACATGAACTGGGCAGGGGATGAGGCTAGAGGAGTTACGAAGGAAGGGCAGTGGAGAATCACTGAAGGCTTTGAAACCTAGGGGTGGGATGGGAACACCTCAATCACATTTATAGTGTATAAAGGTTTCATGAGTTAAGAGTGGACTCTCCTTGTCTATCTCATGTGCTTGTTAGTAAATCAAAGTCGGAACTGGTGGGTGATAAATAAGGAATCTTGATGGATTTGTAGATGGAAGGTCTGACCCAATAATCTAAGGGCTCCTTTTGATAATCTATAGTGAAGAATTTTCAAATTTTGACTTGATCCTCTGTCTTTAAAACCCCTGAAAACATTCCCTAAAATTCTTTCAAAACCAAAGCCTGAGTAGGGAGGAGAATGGGGGCTGCATGACTTTGTTTTCTCTGTTCCCCACTACTCATTTCCGGGGCATTGCTGTGAATCGTTCATCCAAAGCCTTGCTCCCCATGAGGAGGGGACCATTTGAATAGCAGCAGGGAGTAGAGGAAGGAGGAACCACACGCCGGGTTCGTTCATTAAGAAAATATATTTGGCATATTCAGACAATGGTTTGAGCGAGTTAAAAATAACCCCTCGTGAAAAATTAATAGGGAGTTATAAGTGAGTGTTTTAATACAAGCTCACAGAGCAGGGCAGATTCTCCAGGTGGCTGGCGGCTGACATCACGGATGGCACAGGGTGTTTATAGAGCACGGTGTGGCCAGAGAGGAGAGTCGTCTGCAGAAGTGAGCTCACCTTCTCTCCTGGAACCCGGAGAGGGAGGAGACAGAAAGAATTGTTTTGGTTGTGAGCTACTGAGCTAGGTGACTTATTTCTTTCTCCCTACCCATCACACTCTCATAACTATGGACATAAAAATTGTAGCGATTTTGCCTGGTTGCTTTGGGTGAAGTATATTGAATGTCAGAATTCATAAAACGGGCTTTCTGGCTCTTCTCTCTTCTTAGTAATGGACCCTTGTTGGCTGCTATACCCACTTCTTCAGCGTTTCCTCAACCGACAACCTGTTCCTCCCATTCTTACAGGTGGTTATGAAGGGTCTGCTCCTTTCTCCCCCTTCCTCCCTTCTCACAGCACCTCTGTGGGCTTTGGTGGGTAAAGCCAAGGGTTGCACTGTACTTTCTTTTCTATCAGTACAGTTAAATGGATGATGCAGAATGAGGAGAAAGGAAATCAAAGTGACATCTGACCTTGGCTAGCTGATTTTGGGGCTAAGGGTTTTAAGACTGGGGGACCAATATTTGTATTTTAAACCCAGATGATATTTAAAAAATGGTTCTGTAATTGCAACGAGGCCCTCTAGGCCGTGAATTAATGTGTCATAACTCACGCCCAAGCACTGCGCAAACATCCCGCGTGTGAATTATTGCACAATAAATTCATGCCCTGTTGTGTCTTACAGCTTAATTAGTACATGAAGCTACATGAGTTAGACGAACCCATATGGGATTATGTCATGTGATGCGTAAAAAAGCAGAATGTTGGGAGGTATTTGGCACTTTTTCTGGGGGGAAAGCAGGGCTGATTTTTCTGTAATGTCCTTTGGTGTCAGTTTCTGTGATTTTGGGCTGCAACAGGTGACATGTGACTTCTGAGCTTTGGTTGGTTGGTTGAATATGGGTTCAGTAAATATTTATTGTTTACTACGTCTTAGGCATTATGAAGGGATAGAACACGTAAGATGAAATACGAAGCAGCAGCTCTGAAGCCTGAGCACCCGAACTCGGCAGCCTCAACCCAATTCAGCTTAACTCAGCCTCACTGAAGCCAATCTGAGACTCTGCCCTGGGCTTGCTACAGCACTCTGATCCTAGAACCCTCTTCAATTCCAGCTAGAATGCTGTATCAGGCACTTCGCAGTTATGGTCAAAAGTTGGCACGTAGACATACGCTGGAGCAATACGTGGTTAAGATTTCCACTGCTGGAAGGCTAAGCACTCTGGATATAGTAGCCTTGGGTGTGGTCAACACAGTGGGTGCAGGTGTGTATGTCCTGGCTGGTGAGGTGGCCATTGATAAAGCAGGACCATCCATTGTGGTCTGCTTTTTAGTGGCTGCCCTATCTTCTATGTTGGCTGCTCTGTGCTATGCAGAGTTTAGCGCCCGGGTTCCCCATTGTGCTTCTGCGTATCTATACAACTATGTCACTGTAGGTGAACTCTGGGCTTTCATCACTGGCTGGAACCTCATCCTCTCTTATGCTACTGGTGCAGCCAGTGTGGCCCGGGCCTGGAGCTTAGCTTTTGACAACCTGATTGGGAACCAGATCTCTCAGACCTTGCATGAGAGCATCCCACTGAATGTTCCCCATGTCCTTGCAGAATATCCAGACTTCTTTGCCATGGGCCTGGTGTTGCTGCTCACCGGATTGCTGGCTCTCAGGGCTAGTGAGTTTGTCCTGGTTACTACAGTGTTCACAGTGGTGAATGTTTTGGTTCTTGGTTTTGTCATCATCTCTGGCTTCCTTAAGGGGAAACTGCACAACTGGCAGCTTACGGAAGAGGACTACGTAATGACCATGTTTAGACTCAATGACACTTCTCCATTAGGCTCTCTGGGCCATGGAGGATTTGTGCCTTTTGGCTTCCAGGGGATTCTCCGTGGAGCAGCTACCTGTTTCTATGCCTTTACTGGTTTCGACAGTATTGTTACCATTGCCGAAGAAGCCCAAAATCTCCAGCGTTCTGTCCCGATGGGCACTGTGATTTCAGTGTTCGTCTGCTTTTTGATGTATTTTGGGGTCTCTTCGGCACTTACGCTTATGGTGCCTTACTACAAGCTTCAACCTGGGAGCCCCTTGCCTGAGGCATTTCTCTATATTGGCTGGGCCCCTGCCCGCTATGTCGTGGCTATTGGAGCCCTCTGTGCTCTTTCTACCAGGATCTTGGACTCTATGTTCCTCCTTCGTTGGATGACCTTCGTGATGGCAGATGATGGCCTCCTTTTCAGTGTTCTTGCCAGGATAGACTCCAAAACAAGCATCCCCATTGTGGCCACTGTGGTCTCGGGCATTGTTACAGCGTTAATGACATCTCTCTTTAGACTCACTGATCTTGTGGACCTCATGTCATTTGGGACCCTGCTTACTTACTCCCTGGTGGCTATTTGTATTCTCATTGTCAGGTATCAGCCCGAGTTGAATGATGAAGAAAATGAAGCAGAGGCACAGGAGGAGAATGGGCCTGCAGCAGAGAAGCTGACTCTGTGGGGACTATTTTGTCCAGGCAGCTCCATCCCCACTCCACTCTCTGGCCGGGTTGTCTATGTTTGCTTCTCATTGCTTGCTCTGCTGCTCCTTCTTCTTTGCCTGGTGCTGGTCCAGTGGCCAGTTCTACAGCTTTTGGGAAACCCACTGTTGATTACAGTGGTTGTGCTGCTCCTGGTGCTCATCACTGGGATCACTGGGGTCATCTGGAGACAGCCACAGAGCCCAACTCTCCTTTACTTTAAGGTACCCGCTCTGCCTTTCCTCCCAATAATGAGCATCTTTATGAATGTTTACCTTATGATGCAGCTGCCACTTGGCACCTGGGCCCTATTTGGTGTCTGGATGCTGATTGGGTTTGCTATCTACTTTGGCTATGGGATCCACCATGCATGCAGGATTAACCCCACATAAGTTAGGAACAGAACTGTAGACCTTGAACTCTGCAGTGCCAGTACATATTCGATTTTACATCCTCACATGTGGATGCTGTCTGGTTTCCTTGCACAATAATGGAGGGTACTCTTGAGCACAACATCCATGGGATATTGGTGGGGAAACACTAATAGAGCTCTGTATGTATTGTCAAGGATGTGTCTTTGCTCTTTCTCATCTTTAAAAAAATTTTTTTTAACTTATCTGTTTTTCAATTGTGTCTGTAACTGCTTACTGGCTTTAAGAAGTTATTATTAAAAGAAACTAGAAAGAGTGTTTTCATTTTCATTTTATTCGGGTAAATATCCAGTAGTGGAATTACTGGATCATAGGATAATCCTATTTTTAATTTTTTTGAGGAATCTCCATACTGGCCTAATAGTGGCTGCATCAACAGCCACCAACAGTACATGATGGTTCCTTTCTCTCCACATCCTCACCAACACTTGTTATCTTTTGTCTTTTGGTTTTAGCCATTCTGACGGGTGTAAAGTGATAACTCATTGTAGTTTTCAATTACATTTCCCTGCTAATTAGTGATGCGGAGCATCTTTTCATGTGTTTGTTGGACGTCTGTATGTCTTCTTTGGAGAAATGTCAATTCAGGTCCTCTGCCCATTTTTAAATTGGATTATTTGTTTTTTTTGGTGTTGAATTGTATAAGTTCTTTATGTATTTTGGATGGTAACCCTTCACTGGATATATCATTTGTGAATATCTTCTTCCATTCAGTAGGTTGCCTTTTTGTTTTGTTGATGATTTCCTTTGCTGTGCAAAACTTTTCACTTCCACTAATTTGAAAAGATATATGCACCCCTATGTTTATTGCAGTGTTATTTACAATAGCCTGAATATGGAAGCAATCCAAGTGTCCAATGATAGATGAACAAATAAAGATGTGATACACACACACACACATACACACACACACACAATGGGATATTACTCATCCGTAAAAGAGAATGAAATTTTGCCATTTGTGATGACATGGATAGAGCTAGAATATATTATTATTATTATTATTGAGAGTGCACAAGGCAGGTAGAGGGGCAGAGGGAGAGGGAGTCAGACTGAAACAGGCTCCAGGCTCTGAGCTGGCAGTCAGCACAGAGCCCGACGCGGGGCTCGAACCCACGAACCGCGAGATCATGACCTAAGCGAAAGTCGGATGCTTAACCGACTAAGCCACCCAGGCGCCCCAGAACAGATCATTTCTAAAGTTCCACTTAGTTAAAAAATTCAAGGATTTCCTCTTTTTTTTTTTCTGTCCCGTTATTCTCTCAACTAAGTCTCTCTACTGCACGAAGTCTGAACCTGTATCCTGTCCACTTTTCACGACAGCCCACTGTTGGAGCAGTAGAGGTGCAATAAATAACACCCCATGTCCCCCGTGCTATGTTTAGAACCAATTGGTAATCAAGATACAGAGACAGACGGTTAAACCTTCCGCTTTAGATCTGCAGCCTAATTGGCCTGCTAATACAGCATCACTAAATTAGACTCACTCCTCATCATAAGTAGTGTGGAGAACTCCCTGCTATCCACCACAGTAGAAAGCCTGCTTTTGTTAGATTTTTCTCATGTATGAGCAGGTTGAATGCATGTGTCCTGTGGGCAGGTCATCTTTGGATAAAAAAAGAAAACTGACAAAAAAACTGGAAGAGGCTGAGCTGGGCATGCTCAGTGCTGTCTCTTCAACTCACTAATCAGTCGCAGTAAGAGAAGAGCATGTGGAGAGAGGCTAGGAATAGTACTCTGCTCAGTGGTTCTGAAACTTCAGTGGGTGTCACCTCACCTGAAGGGCTTGTGAAAACAGATTGCTGGTCCCTGCTGCAGTGTTTGGAATTTAGTAGGTCTGGGTAGGGAGGGTCAGGAACTTCTAACAAGGTCCAGGTGATGCTGACACTGCTGGTCCAGGAACCACACGTTGAAAACCAAAGCTCTTGCTGAAGCCCTTCCACATGTAAAGATGAAGTGAAGGGAACAAAGTCACCCTTTTAACATATACCTTCATTTAATGAAACATTTAGATTCAAGTACCATTGTTAATCCTTTCACAGTGGGGAAATCATAGTGAATCGTTTCATAATATATGTGTATATCAAGTCACCACAATGTCCATCTTACGTATCTTTACAATTTTGTATGTCAATTATACCTCCTTACTAAAGCTGAAATAAAAAAATAAAATACCACAGTTCTCTGTGTGTCTTTATTTTCCTCCCTAGATTGTAGGTCGTAGGTAAGGAGTGTATCCTGTTCACTCCCCCAGAGCATCCACCTGGGGGCCAGGCACAGAATGAACGTTTCATGTTAAACTGAATTGAGCCTTATACCTGTCTTTGGTATGGAAAATTCTCCTTCCTTTCATGCTAACACTGTGCCACCCCTTTAAAACTATCTCCTAGGACAGTCTCCTTGACAAATGGCATTTCTCTCCATTCAGAACCCAGCATCTAGAACTGTGCTCAGGCACTTCTACTTTTGCCTTTGTTTGGCTATGGCTGAGTTCTGGTGACTGTCCTGTCCTGTCTGTTCCATCACAGTGGAATCTTGCTCAGGGCAAGGCGGGGCGGGGGGGGCGGGGGGGACAGGACCCAGTTCTCTCCTTCCTCTAGACTCAGTAGAAAGAATACTGTTGTTCATTCAAAGAGCAATAGGGAAAATACAGCCCTGGGGCAGGAGAATGCCTGAACTGACCTCCTCTGGTCCCTCTCCATTTATTCCCATGGGATTTGAGGAGGGGCAGGAAGTAGTGAAATTGATAGAAGACCCAACCCATTCTACCTGACTCCACAGAATCCCTGAAGTCTAGACTGACTCCAGCGTGGGCAGAACAGGCATCTTTCTTGAAGCAGTCAAAGTTCTATGCTTTGGAATAGAAGAGCTAGTGTTTTTCTATTTATGTATGGGGCCTGCCCTGGGAGAGGGGGATAGGAAGCTACTATCTGACTTGTGGAATTTCTCATATTTGCAACAGGGAGCAGTTGACTCCAGGGAAGCCTGCTGGAGGGAGATTACCCATTTACTTACCAACTCTTTTAGTTGCCTTTATTGAGAGACTGTTGCAAAAACCTTGTGGGATCATCTAAGATTCTTTGGGGGGAGAGAATTTATACTGCATGGGGTGAAGCATTGGGCTGAAATGGGAAGAATTAGGGACCAGATAAGGACTGAGGCATCATGACTTTGGAAGGGAAGGTATGAGTAGAAACTGAGAAAAGAGGGGCGCCTGGGTGGCTTAGTCGGTTAAGCGTCCGACTTTCACTTAGGTCATGATCTCACGGTTCATGGGTTCGAGCCCCGCGTTGAGCTCTGTGCTGACTGCCAGCTCAGAGCCTGGAGCTTGTTTCAGAGTCTGTGACTCCCTCTCTCTCTGACCCTCCCCTGCTCACGCTGTCTCTCTCTCTCTCTCTCTCCTAGAAATAAATAAAACATTAAAAAAAAAAAAAAAGAAACTGAGAAAAGAGATGTGGGCCAGGAGACACTTCCTGGAGGAGGATGCCTATGGAGAAATTTGGGAAATACAAGAGGGATAGATGAGCTGGAAAAGAAATGGGACAGTAATTTTAGGCTACACGGACCTTTAATAGTCATGAAAGAATGTGTTTTTTTCACATTTGAAGGGAATTTGTGAACCAGGTTTATATTGTATATTATGCCATGGAATTAGATTTCTGAATCAGGAAGGGATGAGATATGATTCTCACTGCCATCTGGAGGATAGACAGAAGGATATAGATAGACAGATTCTTCCTGGGAGACAGTTGTAGAAACTACTATAGTCATCTAGATCCTTGCTCTTCAAAGTATGGTCCGTGGATCACCAGTGTGTCACCTGACAGCTTGTTAAAAATGCAGAATCTTAGGCTCCAACCCAGACCTCTTGAATCCGAGCCTGCATTTTTTTTTTTAATTTCTGAAAGAGAGAGAGAGAGTCAGCGTGCTCAGGGGAGGGTCAGAGAGAGAGGGAGTTACAGAATCCGAAGCAGGCTCCAGGCTCTGAGCCAGTTTTTAGCACAGAGCCCGATGCGGGGCTCGAACCCATGAACCATGAGATCATGACCTGAGCCAAAGTCGGACGCTTAACTGACTGAGCCACCGAGGCGCCCCAGAATCTGCATTTTTAACAAGCTCACAGGTGATTTGTATGCTCCTTCTGGTTTGAGAAGCACTGGACTTAGATAGATGATCGATGAAAGGTGTCTGTCCTCACATGAGCACTATAGAGGGCCTGAAAACTTTGGAACTGAGAGCTTAAGAGGAGGGGCCTAGGCTGGGGAAATTGAACTTGGGGGAGAGGGAGAAGTGTGGGCCCTGGCTCCCCTCCTGTCTCCAGGCCTCCCACGCCAGTCACTATGCCAGGGTTTGGCACTCTGCCCACTTTGGGAAAATGCCTTGCCGTGCCCACGCTGGAGTCTGCCTGGTCCTCAGGGTCTCCCCTGGGGCAAGCATTGCGTGGGTCATGACTGCTGCCAATTTTGTTTCCCCTACTTCATATGATGGCCTGAAAGAGACTGGGGAGGTCATATTAGTCATGCCGCGCCTCAGGGTTGTACTGTCCCTTAATCAAATGAGTGATAATTTGGTGGTACTAATTGCAGAGACTATGGGGGTTGGAGGGATTGAAATAGGAGTTCTTAACTGTCATGGCAGTTAGGATATTATCATGGTATTTTCATGTCTCAAAGATATTTTCATCTTTCAAAAGTTTAAGGAGAGACTAGATGACTGGATAAGGGGTTATACCCTGCTAGGGACCAAATTAATTATTTTAAAGGGATCTTTTGATGATTTTTAATGGGTTAATAGCAAAATACATGAGACCTATAATTCCAGAGATCTAGGGCAATAGGCAACAGAACAATGTTATCTTGTGGGCATTTGAGAATTTTCTTAAGCTTTTGAGGGTTTGTGTACCTCACCCCCAACCAGAATGAGTGATAAGGAGAGGTCAATGCTCCAGGAAAATAGATTGA